ACCTATGATATCCACATGACAGCAGCAACAAAAATATCCTTTAAGAGAAAGGTGATACATGGTACATGAGGCTAAAGGCTCGAAAGGATGTCGAGATAAAGCATGTAATACCACCTCAATATCCTAGTCGGGTAAGTGAAAAGGCCATTTGGGAAGAAGGACTCTAAATGATGGATAAGGCTGGATAGCACAAGGGAGTCAAAACTTTACAATGTTCAGAAAGAAAAGTAGTCGACAAAGCTGCCTTATATAAAGCAACAGTAGACAAAGCTAGACCCAAGTCAAAAATCCAGATAAAAAACGAGATATGTTGGGTACATTTGGGTGAAGTGGGATCAATTTCCTCGTGAGACACCATTGGCTATAAGTGTCATTTCCATTGATAAATGGCCATTGTTGGTCTACGGATAGATTGAGACACATATAAGGCAACTTTAGAAGTTGAACCCTAATGCCATGTGAAGGACCACATAACTTCCATACATGAAGTTTGAGCTTGGGAAAGTTTAAGTGTAGAATGCTGGATCGAGGTTACCTCAACAGAGATAGCCAAAGAGGAAGAGGAATAGAAGGACCCTTTTGAAGACACTGTAAAAGAGGAAACTATGGTTGGGCTGGCCAGTCTGGAGCTACCAACAGCTCTCAAGTAGAGGAACGAATCCTAGCCAGAACTCTATATAATAGACGAATTTGGGGAATGGCAAAGTGATGCAATCTCATCCAACCTTGACTGAATGCATTCATCGACAAAGACCAACGATGGGGTACTGGGGACCAAAAACACAGGTAGTTGAGAGTATCAATGAGTAGTGATATGCATCGATCATCAGAGTCCCGAACTGAGAGCAAATCCACCTCACAACGGAGCATCCATTTGGTTGGGAGAATTCAATTGGACTGATACAGGTGATCTGCTATGAAATTCACCCCCTCTACGGAACATAGTAAGTTACGAGAATGATATGATGGTAGTGAGCCTAGTAGAAAATATCCAAAGTTCCAAAACGAAGGTCCCAGGACGGGAAATGTAAGAGACCACTGTGAAATTGATGGAATGAATCATGACGATCTTCCTCTGCAATAGATTCATCTTCCATCCATGGACCCTGGAATTCCCTACCAACGATATATGCACCCTATCCCTGAAGTGAGGCATCTGCGAGGAAATGAAACTCGTGACAAGGGGGCAGTATATGAACACTGATGGTAGTGTTGATCCAATCCAATCACCACTCAAGAAATAAGATGTTGCTCCTGATAGAGGAGACTGGGTGATCCAGTGGATTAAAATTTCTGAAGGGACCACATGTGTGATCGTCCAGAAGGAATCAGACATCCCCAAAAGAGATAGAAGCATCCATGTAAGTAAAAGCCTGACTGCCCATTCCATAGCCTGAAGCCAGATGGTAGTTGGCTGAGTCTGGCTTAAAACATGTTGAAAAAGACACCCAGATGGACAATACTGTAAGTCAGCATGAGAATGGATTTCTTGGCTCTGATAAGAAAACCAGCCTTGGTGGCTTCTGAAAGGAGAATATGGGTGTGTTGTTTTGCCAACTGACGAGATGGTGCCAGAAGTCACCAGTCATCCAGATAATGGAGTGTGCACAGGCCCAAAGTATGAAGATGGCAAAAAAAAAACTCAAACGACTCTACAGAAGACATGTGGTGCAGATGCTAGGCCAAAGGGTAGATCCCTGAACTGCATAACCTGACCTCTGTGCACGAAATGTAGATAGTAGCAGGATGACTTCGCTATGAGAATGTGGAGATATGCATCAGCAACATCAAATGTAGTCATCCACAGACCTGGTGAAGAATGCCATTGTAGGTTGAGAAAATACTTTATTGTGAACCTGGAAGGATCTAAGAATTGGTTGAGACGAGAAAGATTGATGATCGGCCGCGAATCTCCCGTCTTCTTGGGCACAACAAATAAATGGGAATAAAATTCTGGAAAAACGAGAGCAATTCTCTCTACCTCCCCCTTGACCACCGGTAACTATCTGAAAGCCTTGGAATGAAGAACCATACTCCACGAATCTGTTGGGGGTGGAAATACTACATGTTGGGAGGATAACGAAGGGTAGAAGTTAACAGAATGGCCAAAGTCCGTCGCCAGAACCTGAAGTACCCATGGATCTGTGGTTAAGGAATTCCAGGTGTGCTTCAATTGTTGTAATCTCACTCCCACAAGCCTCACCATATAGGACAGTCACTGACACTATTGGCGATGGTCTGCTCGAGTGGAGGAGCCTTGAAACTATAGACAGAATCTGTTCAGAGTATCCACAGAGCGAGAAGCAGAAGCCGAGATTCGGGACACATGACAAGCAGGACTTCCAGCAGGAGCCAATAAAAGTCTAGTGGCCATCAACAACAAAAAACAGAAAATAAGTGACATCAATGCTTCTGGGATGCCCGCGAACATCAAGGGGTGAAGAAAAAGAGCCTCACATAACTCAGAGAGGGTTACAGCAAGTAGATGAAATACCTCCAACAAGGCATCTCTACCCAATAAATCCCAATAACCTACAAGACAGGAAACCAAAGAAAGAGCAGAAGCAAAAGACCCAACTCGTCCTCAAATTGATGTGGGGACCACTGATAGGCTTCCAACAAAATTAGTTGGGAGGGGAGGGGGAGAAAAAATCTCAGAACAGGAGTGAGAGTCAAATGAATCCGAGAAATTGTAATATGTTCAAAGTGATCACAGGTTCCAGTCTGGAACCCCACATATCCAAATAAGGATGTAGTCTGTGGAATCGAAATACATGTCCACCTAGCGGTGGTAAGCCAAAGCCTGCTATTCAAACAAATGAGGGGGACAAGGTATGTCTATCCCGTCATGTAATAGG